GCTCCAGCTCCATCTTCGTGGTACCTGCATCAAGGCGCCAACTTCACAGGTTAGTACTGGACACAGAGAGAGAGAGAGTTCTAAGTCCACCTTCTCTTCTCACCCTCTCGCCACCTGACTTCTCAGACTACGACAGAGAGAGACAGAGTTGTGACTTGAGACTTGACGACATTGGATCCAGACTTGACATTTGGGATTCAGACATTTCGACGAGGGACTATTTGGGCTTATGCCAAAGACTCGGTGTTGACGACATTCCCATCTTCCCCCTCCTCTTCGTCTATCCCCTTCCTCTTCGTCTGTGTATGGTATGGGCTGGCGCAGTCTTCCTGTGTGAAGCGCCAGGCCCCATTCACCCATGTAACGATGATGGTGATGTATGTTCAGGGCTGCATTTCAACATTGATTGTTCAGATCACTGGTATCTAAGTCTTCCGTTGTGCTATCCTATACTTTGTATTGAAAGGTCGGTTCTTGTTCTGGTCTGCACGTTACAGTATGCAACACACACACACACGCTGTAACCTAACTTTAAGCTATGGCGGCTATGGCCGCCTTCTACCACTATCTATAGGCAGCGATGGCTGCTCTATCTCCCTCCCAGCCCACTTCAACTACGGGCACCTGCAGACCACCTCACAGAAGACGCCTGGGCAGCGCTTCCGCATGGCTCACACAGAATGAATGAATGAATGGACGCTGCCTCTTGATTTATATTTCTGTATGTCCTTGGTCTGCCTCTTTCCACCGGGCCCATGGTGCACAATCCCACATGGTACCTGCTGACTAGACTAAGCACGACTGGGACTGGGTACCGCTGATTCGACAAGTTGGACTCCTACTTACCCACTTGCCTCTGGCCTAATGTGTATAAACTCTCGAAAGGCCACTTCCGGACCTTCCGGAAGTCAGGACTTGGCCTTTCGGGTCTGTACCAGGTATGACCTTGACCGTTCAGGACTATAGCAGCTACGGCCTTGACCTTTGCGAGTTGCAACAACTATGACCCGTGCACAGGTATGACCCCTACTCGGCAGATCTATGGTTCAAGACTCGAAAACTACACAGACCTATGACAGACAACATTCAGCTACTAGAACGCAGGTCACGGGTTCAAAACACACAGGGTCGACTTGCTGTACACGGGTGAGGTAAGGTCTAGGGATCGAGCCCTGGGATCTGCATCTGTTACTTCAAAGGTGAAAACCGTTTCACTCCCGCCGGCCTAAATTCGAGGTCCTCCGAGAATACTTTAGTCCAAAGCTGGACCTTTACCTTTCTTACCTCTCTCATAGGCTCAAACTACATCAGGAGCGGTCTCAAGAAGCTCTGTTCATGTGAACCAGCGGTTGTCTTCTGGTTCCTGAAAAGAGAATCTGACTTTATACTGTTTCTGTGGACGACCTCTACATCCTGTTCTTAACACATCATCACCTACTATGTGGTCAATGTCGTATCTCTCCCCCATGTTCGGAGGGATCATGGATCTTTGTGATGGAAACTGTTGATTGTGGTACAGGGCAACAACTTTGACGCATGAAAAATTGGGTAGGTGTGAAGGTGTGCTGGAATCTCGATTGGGTTGGACGGTCCATCCTCTTCGCCCTTGACTTCTAAGACTGGCCATGGTCCTCTATATGCAGAAAATAACTTCTGCGAGATGTTCTCCTCAGGAGCAAACTCCTTTGACTTGGCCCAGACGAAGTCGCCTACTTGGAACTGTGACGGGCGACGGTGCTTGTTGGCCTGTTGTATCATCTTGTGCTGGGCCTTCCTGAGGTTCTCTACAACGGTAGCAATCTTTTTTTCGTGCTGTATTGCGAACTCCCTTGTACTGGGCGGTAGCCTCTTGGATATGATCCCGGTTCGGTCCCTCAAACGGCCTACGCGGTGTAAAGGACTTATGTAACTCGTTGGGAGTGCGACAAGTGGCTAAGTGTACACTGATGTTGTACGCAGTGGCTACCTTTGGGATCATCTCATCCCAGTTGACTTGATCGGGTCTAATAACATTCTAAGAACTTGTTGCAGGACTTTGTTCATCTGTTCAGTCTGACCATTAGTCTCTGGATGATGGCCAGATGACATCAACAAAGAGTTGTAGACTCTAATTAGTTCCTGCCAGTTCTGACTAGTAAACCGGGTATCTTTGTCACTAACTATCGACAGCGGTAGACCATGTTCATTGACCCTATGATAAAACGTGCCTCTGAGGGCAAAGGAACAAAAACTGCATACTTACTAAAACGGTCGACTATGACTATGACTTGGCTCTTACCATGTCTACTCTTGACTTGCGTGTCCATGAAGTCTATAGACACTGAGTCTCCCGGCTGATCCGGAATAGGCAATGGCCTGAGAAGACCAAGAGGGGCGCGCGTAGTAGTCTTATTCCTTTGGCATACTTTACAACTGCATAGTACTCTATGCAATCAGCCTTCATGCCAGGCCACGTATATGCATGAACGAGGTTGGCTAATGTCTTCTGCCAACGAAAATGTCCCTCTGCATCGTGGCATTCCCCTAAGATCGAACTACAGATCTCTTCACTGTTGGGAACGCACAAACGGTCAGCTACGTTAGTCTTCTCGAACAGTAACCCGTCTGTAGTGCGGTAATCTGGTTCAGTCTCTGGAGACTCCTTACCTCTCTTAAGGAGACTGCTATAAATAGGGTCTTGCTCGTACGCTTCCTTCTGCTCTCCGATCGCCGCCGGATCTGTTGCAGGTCTCTCCCTGTATCCAGATAGTGAAGTATCGCTCCAAAGTAATCATCCCTCCTAGCGTTTGCAACTACAGTATACTTTCCTTTGATTGGCTTGACCTCAAAGTCAAACTGGTCTATCTTTGCGGCCCACCTAGTAAGCTTAGGTGTTATCTTGGCCTGCGTCTTCAACCACCTCAGCATCTCGTGGTCTGAAAAGCCTTTGGAGTA